ATGTGAAGTTGTCAATCCATTATGTGAAGTTTTCAATCCATTTTGTGACGCTCTCAATGCGTCACGCGGGGAGCTATCCCTTCAAATAGCCCGTGTGGAATTTTATGAAGTAGTGAATCCATTATGTGATGTTGTCAGCGAATTACGTGTAGTCAAAGCATTATGAAACCGTTCCACTGTTGTGGAGCTACCCTGCGTACGGGCCGTGGTAGTTTTCTTTGGGTACGGCCGAACCGTGGCCATGCAACACACTAGCAGTACGAACTTAAGCTTCACAAAAACTGAACTTATGATAGGATCACCATCAATTTAAAGGATGATGCAAGCTTCGATCAGAAGGGAAAAAAGTACATATACATATAAACCAGAGTTGTGCAGAAGCAAGGCGCCAGTTAGTAATGTTCATCATTTAGCATGTCCTGACAGGGTGATTTACAGGCAGGCGCTGAGAAATTACGACTGTTGCTGATCCACTTGGCAGTCGGTGCTGCGTGATTGTTAATTTCAGCTAATGTAAATCAAAGTCCAGAATGAAATTAAAATCTCTGTTTCTTTGTTGGAATAAAGTTACTGTGTATCGATTGTTTTGGATATACTGCACCGTGTACAATTTCAAACTACACTCTCAAAATGTTTCTTCTGGTGAGACTCGTAAACTTGAGTTTAAATTAGGAACTCGACACTTAGTACAAAACCTACAAATTAGGAACTCGACATTTACTATAAAACCTACACCATTACTTTTTTAATTCAACTCAACTCAACGTACGAGAGAGAGGGAGGGGGACAAACATTATGCTAACATTCACGAGTGCATTCAGAACTGTCCAATTGGTTGAATGTACCCTGAAACAGATCAAGTTTGGGTTTTAAGTTATTTAAAAAAAAAATAAACCAAATACCGCACATTACACGAAAAGTAACACGATCGTATACTTAAAGTCCAAGACTGGTGGCGCAGTTTGCTCCACTTAAGCATTATTTTAAAAGAAATACACTTTTCTGATTAAGAAAATAACTGTTGAAGTATAAACATATATTATCTGCTACAGTCACAGATGATGTAGAGGCGTGTTAAAAGCATCTGGCTTTCAGGACAGCTTGCTCTCCAAAGCGCCTTACTCGGTCAACTGATCGCTAGTTAGGAGCGGTGTACTGCCTCTGGTGTGATCTGGAAATAATTGATATGAAATTGATTTTACTGTATAATTTCCATTGCCCACAGAAAATTGTATGATACGTCATACTCATGTTGATATACCCGCGGAATGAGGCGAATGTAAAAGTAGTTTATGCAGCTTCTCTAAGCGGGTGCTGCGCATTTGGTGTTTAACACGAGGCCTAATACATATTATTTAGCACATTGTGTGTTTCATTACTTTTAAAATAATTACTAGCAATCAGTATCAAAGTCACTTACGTTTTTCCTAACAAACTCTGGTAACAGGTGTGAATAACCCAAACAGTTCAAGATGGGTTCCATGATGGTCGAGACACCACATGACAACTAACTCAGAACTAAAGTTACTACAACGCGCACTGGCCAAACTTAGAAACCATCCCATACTTAACGTCTCGTAATTTGACACCAGCAATAAAACGGGATTGCTCTGAAAAAGTGACCACACGACTTATAATGCTTTGACTACATAATTCGCTGACAATTTCACGTAATGGATTGGGTACCTCGCATAATTCAACACGGGCTATTTAAAGGGATAGCTCCCCGCGTGACGCATTGAGAACTTCACATAATGGATTGACAACATCATATAATGGTTTGACAACATCACATAATATATTGAGGACACGATCAAACTATTTTCACAGAGTAACATCATGTTTTGGTACATTTGGCGTTCCATAGAAAAGAACCACGATGGTGGGGAATTTTCATTTTGTTGGTAGCGATGCGACCGTAATGCGTACATTTCCAAGTCATTCTTGAACCAGCGAAGTTCATTTCCGACCAAAGTAGACCCCATTGCTCAGAAAATAGTGCCCTCTCTTGGTGCAGCTCCTGAGCTTTATACTTAAACTTAAATGTCTGCTCTCCAAATAGCGACTCTTAAATGGTTTTGGCAACTGGTCTTGCAGAAGTTATATTATCACAAATAGGTCATTTGGGAGACACTTTGTGGTAATTTTTTCAACCTTACGGAGACATTGATCATTATGGAGACATTTTAATGTCTCCTTAATGCTCCAACTACCAGAAGGAGGCCGAATTTTATTGTCCAGATTTTGAGAGATGATAGATTAGGGTCTAAAATGAAAACATGCAAAGTTTGGTTAAAATCAAATCACTCAAACAGGGAATATTGAATTATGAAACAGCACAGTTGGAAAAATTTTGTGCACGTTCTTTTGGGAATGTCTCCCTAATGACCCAGTTTCGGTAATAAATATGACTATTATATTCATATATCCGTGTATTCGGGTTATTATCAATGCACTAAATGAATATTTAAGATGTTTTAGGCAATGTATTAATTCCAAACGTGTATCCATGCTCATGCGAAACAGCTGTACGTCAAAACCAAAACCAATTGTCCGGATGTATAAAAAAATGAATGTGACAGTAAGCTGTAAGGACCAACATCTTTAAACGTATAAAATGAGTATATCTTCGTTTTCGTGGTCGATATTGTGTGTACAAAAAATAAACTAAATGTCATTAAAATGTCTGCTTCTGTGCAGTGTTTTTTTTTTACATGAATTACTCGTGTCAGGGACATTGGATGTATTTATAGAGGGCGTAAGGAGTGAGGTTTTAAGCAATTTCTCAATTTTTTTCTATTTATGTGAAGATGGGCGTAAATCCCCAGGGGATTGGGTGTATATATCCTTCCCCCTATTTTTAGGGGGGTAGGCTAATGATTTGCCCCTTGCCAACTTTTGCAAGGTGGGCAAAAAAATTAAGCGGATTGTGACGAATTTTTCGAAATTCCCAAGAACCAAAATGTATTCAATATCACTCATAAGGGAAAATAAAAGAACTCATAAATATGCCGTTTTAGTAAATGTATTACATTATCGCAGATGTAATGAACAACATCCCATATAGTGTCAATGCATGTCAACCCCCCTCTCCGCTTTTCAAATTTCCATGGCCAGGCAAGTTAAGTCCCATCCCCCACCTCACCCCCATTTCCGGTACAAATTTACGCCACTGAGTTCGGGCATGTGATCTCCCCCATGCCTAAGTTAACTTTTAATCCTACGGTATTTTACAAACTACGGGGATGCCCCATAGTCTGGATACCAGACCCGATGATTCTGACATCTCTACGAATCAAGGGTGTGGTATCACCCCCAGTGTCCACGTGACCAAGACTCGCCGAAATATTCCGAAGTCGTCCCATCTATATTCGGCATGTTCGGATGGTACTGTTAATGTTCGGTTATTCTCGGCCGGATGGGTAGGCTGTTGACTGTAAACTCCTGTATTCCAAGGACAGCTGTTGATCCTACAATATTTGACTTTACACTGAAATCAAAGGTCACCTTGGCCGATATCAATGCCAGCTTGGCAAAATGCAGAATATAATGCCCACACAGACAGGGTGCACCTCTGTAATGAAATCGAAAAGACCGAGGCTCTCAACTTGTGACCCCTGACCCCTTGCATCATATCTGTTTATATCCGTGGGTGATGCCTGACCTAAGATTTTCATCAAGAATCGTCAGGGAATCTTTGGTCGGGGAAACCAGACCAGGATGCCCTACTAAAGGAACGAGGCTTGACGGGAGATGGCGCTTCATACATACCGAAGGTGAGTGATTCCAAGGTGTGATTGATGTACTACTTGGCAGACTAAATAGAGGAACCCAATTGCTAACGCCGCTCAAAAATCAATTTAGGCCTATTTCTCCGTTATTAGAGCATTTTGTGGCTCATGAAATTGAACGATTAAAAAAAAAAAAAAGAAAGGCGGAAGCCACCGACAAGTCATCATTTTTTCAAATGGCGACGGGCTTTAAGATTTCTTAGTCAAGGAATGGTCTTCTTCAGAGGGAAATTGCCCTCAAAAGTTAACGTTATAGGAGTACCCAGCAACCCGACAGAAAGCTTTAAGCAGATTGTGAACAATTTTTAAAGTGAGGGTACTGATATTGTTTATGTGGGAGCTCATTTACTCTGTTGCTGCAAGATTCTCTGTAGAGCGCCCCCATACTTCAAAACGAGAAAAACCAACAGAAAAACGGAAATGCCTTTCTAAAGTAATTGGAATTGAATTGGGGAGACCAGACCAAGCACAAAAGAGCTAAGGGATTAAAGACCTTTGTTTTGGTAAGCCGATTTGCTATAGGGAGTGAAACTACACTTACAAAAGAGATAAGGCTACAAAATCCTAACTAGCAACTTCTTTGTATCGAAACTGTTGGCCAAAAAACGCACCTTTTGTATGTGAACCTGTTTACGTGTGGACACGCGCCACAATTTTTACATGGGCAGTTGAAAAAAAAAGGAAAAGAATGAAAATACTGATGTCTGAACTCAAGAGCTGTGCCTACCTACATATCTTATGGGCATCATAAGTTAATTGCAAGGTTGAAGAATTTGCGGGAAAAAACCGCCCCAGCAGCT